ACCTTCCCCCCCCCCCCCCCCCCCCAAGGAATCCTGGAATTCTTGAGGGTCTCGCACGAGAATCCCATCGGGACCCGTTTGCCCGTCCCGCTTCGAGCTTTCTTATCGCCTTGCTCCTAATCGTTCTGATGGCGTTTCTCGCAATCTCCCGGTAACCGACGCGATAACCGCGTCGGTAACCGGCCGTTACCGCTATCGTCAAATTGGATTCGACGAAATCAATTTCTTTCAACTCCCAATTTATCCTCGTTTCCCGCTTCGACGACCCCATAGCGACACGCTATTAAGGGATCGACTCGTTATGATTTGATCGACCGATACGAATCTTGAGTCTGCTTAATCTTGATGTTAAGCGATTTCATCTAATTAAGCCAATCTCCACAGAACCTTTCAGCACGGTGTCGAGTGCCATCCGCAGTTCTAGAACCGTGTCGACCTGACAGCCGTGTCGATCCGATAACCGTGTCGACCCGACAACCGTATCGACCCGACAACCGTGTCGACTCGGAAACCGTGTCGATCTGACAGCCTTCGCTTCCGATCGAGAATCGGAGCGAAACGCCTCAGCCTATTGAGATCCGACAAAATCAGACGACACTGTCGACTTGTCGTCCCGCCTCGCGAAGTCGACCCATCGACTACCCTTCCTCCCTCGCCAGAGGACTCTCGCATCGCGTCGAGGCCTTTCCATCTCGCAACCTCCTTCACTCCTCACCGCTTCGCCCAATCGCCTCGGTATCGCGCACACCCTCGTGACGTCTCCGTCATCCTCGTGACGTCACCGTCCCCCTATTGTCTGCTTGGGTCGATGACCAGAGGGGATGTCGGCGGCGAAGCCTCCCCCGGTCGCCTTAGAGCAGCAGTTTTCAGCGGTTTTCAGCGAAATGCAGCAGTTTGCCTTCAACTACAGCGACGAAATCAATCAACATTCATGCAAGTTAATTTTATTAAATTAACAAAAAAAGTTATGAAGCTGTCAACAGTTCATGGCTAGTCGACTTGTTTGACACAATTTTAAACCATGTTTCTGCCATCCAACTATCACTCCCTCTCCGACCTCCCCCCCTCCCCCACCTCCGACCTCCCTCTCCGTCCCAGTCTCCCTGATCTAATCGCAGCATCGAAGCCACTTTCCCACGGCGTCAGGCGAATTCGGACTCCCAGCGAGACCCGGACGGAAGCGAGCCCTGGCCATCCGAGCCTGACGCGGAAGGCGCGAGCGACCTCGAATTCCTCCCCCGCGCGGGGCTGGATGCATCTGCGGTGAGGCGGGCTCGGAGGAACGCGGGGCCGAGCCCGTCTCTCACTTTCTCATGCCGACACTTAATGAGACCGCAAACCGCGGGAGGGAATCGGACCCCCTCCTGTGCGATGCCGAAAATGTTGCGTGTGGACGAGGTCCCACGCGCCTCCGTGCCGAGCCTCCGTGCCGAGCCTCCTTGCCGTCCAGCTGTTTTTTGACGTCAGATTACGGTGGAATCGCGTGGATGAATACATTCACCGGGGGAAAGTGAAGGAACCTGAGGATCGACGGTGACTCGCGATCGCTTTGCACGGCGTGGCAGAGCGCAGAAATTAGTCAGGATGGCAGAGGGAATAAATTTCGATCGGCGCCCGCCGAGTCGGGATGGTAGAGAGAATAGTATATTAATTTGTGCGAGCTATCTTCGACGCGGGGGGCTGTGAAGCGGCGTGATTATTAATGCTTTCCGCGTCCTGAGCCATTTTTTTCCACCCAAGATCTGCGAGTCGTTACCCTTTTCGGCAAATCGGTTCGATGCATAAAATTGTGATTTGATCATTTTACATACGCGTCAGCGCACGGTCGCGCGTGATAAAATGCGGTCCACTTCGGCACTAAGCATGCCTCGATGGCGGCACGAAGGCTGGTAGACTCCGCGCCCGGCAGGATTAGGATGTGCCGAATGACCCCAGAGCGGAATCTCCTGGCCTGGGGCTGCGTGGGGACACTTTGTAGCGGAGTGGCTCGTCTCGTGCCTGGTCATCGCATATGGCACCGATTTCGATTTGCCCTTGGGGCTCTCAAGTAATCGAATTTTTTTTTTTACTTCCGCTATTTTCACTCGTCCGTTTTCGCATGCTTCAGTAGAAAGGGAACTCCTTGCCGAATGGAGAACGAAAACAAAATCGTGTCGACTCGCGTTCCGGAACATTTACAGGCCAGATGTCGCAGTCGCCGCAGCGACGAGGCCCCCCGTCGGCGATCATTTCGGCTGCAACATCCCCGGGGACTCCAAAGGACAATCAAGGACAATCAAGGACAATCAAGGGCAATCAGAACAGCCAGGCTTCACGCAATCTTGAGTCCAACTCGCACTTTAGGGTCTAAAGTTCTACATCGACGTGGATTTATCCCTTCACATGAGACAAAAAACCTGCTCGATCGAACCGTTATTTTGCGAAAACCTTAATTTTTGCAAGTTGCAAATCTTAAAATGAGTTGCCAATTATGCGATAGACATCGACAAGCAAAGTAAAATTGTCCCTGGGCTCGGTCCAACCGGTGCACGTGGTTAAGAGCTACAGGTAAAACAATGGGAAACGGTTCAGCAGCAGCCATGCCATCTGGCGTTTACTCGAACAAACAAGGTTTCCAGAAGAGACGGAAGATGGCGGGTGGATCGCCGCGGAAAGGTAAGTGCGATCCCCGGGTGGAGGAGTTTTTTCGCCGGGAACTTCTTAGCCAATCCTGCTTATACCTTTAGCCGATCTTTAGGCCTATGGAGAAGGCGGTGCCGTGATGCCGCGGTGCCGCCTTCTTTCCGCGCGGCGACGCTGTTCTAGTGATTAGAGACGAGATTGGGTGATTTTCTACTTGTGAATAGGTCCTGGACAATGTAATTTCGCTTTCGGGGGACTTCTGGCATCCGTCAACGAACTGATCATCGGGCGACAGTTTTCGAGACCACTCAGCCATAGAGTAAATAAATGAATATCTTTTATACGTACACGTAGGCCTATATCTGCACCTGAATCGGATTCTGATCAGTTTTTTTTTCTCAAGAACTGTTTTAAAAAACCTTTTATTCGTTGGAAAACGTAGCTATCACGCGAAATCTCAGGAATTGCTTTCGAATTTTCCAGTATAGTACATGACTTGCAATGTAATTATTTTTCACTCATAATTAAATAAATAAATAATTAATTATTCAGAGTTGGCCTAGCACATCGAGGGCACGGCCCACATACAGAAACGAGTGCAGGTACAGTTAGATGTCGACTGTACCAACAAGTACCTTGCAGTACTTCCTGCCACCGAGAGTGGTAGGAGATACCAAACTATTTCTCAGACGGTATCTGGAAGAATGAACTTGAAAGTAGGCCTACTTACCCGCCACGCGCAGAATCACTCTGAGAGCAGGGTTGCTCTCCACAGGGTTGCGGAGGGAGCAGGAATTTCGGTTTTTTCTGTTCTTCGCAGCCTGGGGATTTTCGAAGATAGCCCGATTTACAACAAAGATATGGACTTTTAGAGCGAGGTATGTGCCCTTTCCGTTGTTGCTGATGTAAAATATTGCGGTAAAAAGTTAAACAGTCGTTGGGTTTTGGGATGAGGTGAATACTTTGGCAACCCTGATAAGGCGGCCGGCACGAGCGGTCGTGGCCCTTACGCATCAAGGTTGGTAGAATACCATTAATTTTTAGGTGTGCTTTATTATGCTTATACGTGTCAAAGAAAGGGGTTTGGAGAGGGGTTGGTTTCATAAATTAATTGCGGCAGAGTTTGGTCACGAATTCCCTAGCTGTGAATTAACACGGATGTCGATACAGAATCTCTGCAAGCATTTGCCTGGATTAAAGGGCAATTAGTTCAATTTAGTTCCAATAGACCATTGCTTCCTTCACAGATACTAATCCTATGTATCAGGGGTATACCCGAACATACATGTGGTAAAAACCGTTCCTTATCATGCTAAATCATATACAGGAATGACAGAAATGAATATCTCTCGTTGTCCTTTACATTCTGGATGCCCAGCAGGAGGGGAGAAAAGACGACGCATCGAACATCCCTGGTGCTGTCGGTCAGTCGTCACATGACTCCCCTGTCCGGAGGTGTAGGTCAACCGGTCCGACCCTAATCGGCGTCCAGAATTTCCTTCCTCCTTCTCCACTCCGTCTCGACCCTTGATCACCGTAAGTGAAAAATAATTTCTACGTGTCGAGGAAGGTTAATTGACTGCTGAGGCACGTTGCAGAACATATTCGAATTACTTTTCAGTCTATTCTGAGCCTCGTCTCGTTCTCTTTGTCTCCTTAGGAATACACGTGTGTCTTGGCCTTGTTGAGAAGTCGTGTTGCAAATTGAATGCGCTTGCCTCTTATACATGTTGAACCTAACCTATGCACTGGAAATCACTTGAACATTCCTAAACTTCTCAAACTTTGATGGTTTCCAAAATGTTGCAGCGGGGAGTGGCAGATCTTGTCATGCCATTTGTTTTCCTTCACCCCCCCCCCCCCCCCCCCCCTCAATAGGATTTTCTGGGGACACTACTGTCGAGGAAGGAGTGAAAAGAATGAGAAAGCCTTTTGAAAATGATTTCAGGTCGTCAACAGCATTGTTTTCATTCAGTGGTCTGATTTCTCGAGGACAAAAGCAGATTTTGTTGTACTGCGAAGTTTCAATTAGAATAGAATAGAATATATTTCCACATATTTGCAAGTAAGGACAAAAGACAATGGACTAAAAAAAAAAAAGGTATAGGGAAAAAGGAATGGAAAGAAATAGAACGCAAAAATGCAAATCGTGGGTAATAAGGGCATTCATTGAACCCAATCGGGTTTGCCCTGGATGGCAAGGTTAGAATGCAACAAAATATTAATTGTTTTATTTATTTTTTATTTATTTTTCTTTTCGTGGGGATCTGGTCAGCCTAATCAGTCAATTGTGGGAGGAACTGGTTCATGTATTAGATTCTTTTCATTAAAATAACTTATTGTTTTGGCTTTAAAGATTTGGATTGATTTTGCAACCCTTTTGTCCTCAGGCAGTTCATTATATATCCTTAGTCCTTCCTGTATGATGTTTCGTTCTGCAAATTTGAATATTTGAAAATTTCCTGCTTTGGATTAGTTTCATGAGGTCAGCAATCCTAGTTAGTTTTAGGTTTCTGGCATTAAGAATTACTCTTTCTTGATAAGTTATTTGACAAAGATGAAACGGAATTAATTTTCTTCCTGGCAAAATTCTCCAGAATAGAAAGAGTTTTTAGTGTGGTCTCTATTGGCCAATTCAGGATTTTCAATTCCACAGATTTTCCGAGGTGGATGATTTTGATTTGAGCGGAGTGAAAGCAGCCTAATATTTCTAATTTCGGTGAATCTGCAACCATGGTGCTAAAGGAAACCGGTGAAACGAATCTCAACATTTATTGGGGACCTCATTCGAGCTAATGTTCATTGTATGAATTTATATCCTATGCTCATTAAACATCTTGATAGGAAAGGAATGATCGTAAAAATCGGACCGAGTGCCCTGCCTTGCATGAACATTTTTCCAACCTTCCGAAGATGCTGGTGCCAACTTGGGAGGAGGCAGGAAGTTGGAGCGAAAGGTGCATGGAAAGGAGATGGATCGCGAGACGGATCGCAGAGGAGATCGCCCGGCATCCCAAGTTCAAGGAAAGGGGAATCGCATCAGGACCTGGTTGGGATGCTGAAAGAGTGGTGAGGAAGGACCTGGAGCAGCAGATGACAGACACGGTGAGTTTGGGGGGGGGGGGGGGGGGGGGGGGGGGGTACCCTCCAAAAATATTCCTCCACGGCCCCGTTCTGAAGCCTCGCGAAATTCTGGCATCGACATGCCTTCCCAGGAGTGGATGTGGCTTCTCCACACATTCTGCCCTCCTCCCTCCTCCCTCATTCGTTGGGGGTGAAAGACGCAAAAAAAACTTGAAACAAACCAATATTCTATTTTGTCTTCCAGCATGGAATAATCTTGTATTGGGTCATGCCATCTTGATTATACAAAATTTGTGGAAAAGTGAGGAGGATTTTTCTCAGGAAAATCTGGAAGATAACTTTTATCATTCATACAAGGTTTCCAAGAAATATGGTCGCAATGTTTTCACCCTGCCTTGCTTCTGTGCAATCTCTCAGGACAAATTACTTGGTTTCTCAAGCTAAATGGATAATCTCATATTTTGCTTACCAAATGAGTCCACTTTTGATTTGACAGTGTCCATGACCTTGAATATAATAAAACTATTTATTAAAATTTATTTTAAAGTTGACAAGTCGAAAGAAAGCATATCACTAAAGCACCTTCGAAAATTCTCAGGAGACCCTTCCTAATATGATTGAATATATTCATTTAGATTGCAAATAGCTGAAAGAAATCTCTTATAATTAGTGGATTCATTCTCAGTTGACACGAAACGAAGGAAGTCCGGTCTCTCGACAGTTTACTCCTGCTCAGGATTGCGTACGGGAGGCCAGAGCCCGGTGGTCTCTCCTCCGGCTCATAGACAATGCGTGGGGGTATCCCGCAGCACTAGCGATGCAATACGAGAGCAGGGAGGCCGGCCTCAGCCGCATGCGTTGCGCATGAGCGGTTGCCTGCTAGCAGGAGCATGGTTCTTAGAATAAGAGGTATTCGGAGGACCATGGCAGGAGCTAGCATGTCTTTAGGCTCCTTTGCCTCAAGTAGAGAGCTTTTCGGTCATCCTAATTCGGATTGCGCAGTTGCCATGGATGAAAAAGACACCATATACAGTATATTACACATAATATTATGGTATTCACAAGGTGTCGTATCTATGATTTTGTCTGGAAGTTGGGAAACTCGTGGAGGGAGAAATCCGTCAGACCAGGACTTTTCTCCTCGGGCCGATGCGCCTCTTCTTTCACTCGAGTGTTCGAACGAAGGTTTCAATTTTCACTGCGTGATTTCAATACAATGTAAACGGTAAGCACGAAACGGTTACTCGCTCAGCGACTAACCTAATCACATGTCTCGTGCTTCTTGCTCCCATTAATACTACAATGAATAATTCATCATAATAATCATAATATAATAATAAAGATCATGAGCTGGCCTCCCCAAAATTTTCGTCCACGAGCTGCCACTGTCCAAAAGAAGTACACAAAATTTCAAGAGGATTTTCATCTCAGTTTATTAGCTATTAATGTTCAATGGAAGTAAGGGGGGAAATGATTGCATGACCACATCATTTATATATGAAGCTTGAATTCTTGGAGGAATTCCAGGGAATGAGTTCAGATTTTGTTTCTTGTAAATATTTAACCCTTTCGCTGGTGTGGACGTGTTTTAATGTCATGACTTTCCCTGATCATTGCCTGGTGTTAAATTGGGCGTTGATATTGCTCTAAGGTCAAATATGGGCAATTAACCTTTTCCCTGGCATGACCCGTTTCCAATTTCATACACTGCACCATTCAACGATCAGGAAAATCCCATCCCAAGAAAAAGAAAAAATATTGGAGGATAATTTCTCAGGTTAAGCTAAGAGTAAAAATCTGAAGATATGATTGAGAAAGCAGATTTTTTCCAGCTCTGCTTTCCTTGTTGATTGCAATGAATCCGGTTTTGCAAGGCTTATTCAATTTTAGTGCCATGACTTCATTTTCATCAGGGGTGTTGTTAAAGTGAATTGCCTCATTTTATGCCATTTTGGAATTTAACACGGGCAAACTCTCTGATGAGATTTGTCGTGGAAAGGGTGTTGGTGTATATTGTGCCAGTTGGATAAGAGGAGAAGTGAGAGTGCCTGTCTCTGAATTAGGGAGAATTGAAGTGAGAGGGAAGGTCTCAGATTCTGACTTTTCAAATGTGCCCATTCTGGCAGGAAAAACTGGAGTGCAGGGTATGAGATGTTGATCCAATCGACCAGCCTGATTTTTTGCTGATTTATCAGATGTTGGAGGCATGGAGGAACGATGGGAGGGAGGAGGGAGGAGGGCAGAATGTGTGGAGAAGCCACATCCACTCCTGGGAAGGCATGTCGATGCCAGAATTTCGCGAGGCTTCAGAACGGGGCCGTGGAGGAATATTTTTGGAGGGTGCAGTTAATGAGTTGGAGGAATTCGTGAGGATGTTGGACATCAGCTTGAAGGGGAATGACGAGAAACCCTTCCCCTACCTCGATTGGCCGACTGCATGGTCACTTTACGATATTTTGGGTCACGACATACTCGGTTGGAGATATGTTCATACTCTTCAGTCGGAAGGTAAGCACAGAATTCTAAAAAGTCACTATCCTTATGTGAAGAGCTTAAAGTATCAGCAATTGAACTTATTAAATACCATTAGTAATAAAAAAGAAAAATAAGCCAAGTGGACCAACCTGCCCTGGGAAGGCACGTCAATGCACCATGTATGTGGCTTTAGAACAATATGCCAAGAATGTTTTTTATAAGTTATATGCAATGAGCTTTTGGAATTCATGGTGTCCAAACTTAGGTACTGTCTGAACTTAGATGGCTTTACCCTACTAAAAGTACAAGGTGTTCAAAAGAAACGCAACCCATTGGATAATGCATATATCAGTGTACCTATTACTTTTCTTTCTGTTTCAGTGATCATTAAGTACAAGAATGGTGTTCACAGTTCAAGAAAGAATATTCATTGTTGAAAATTACATTAGGAATCGAAGTTATTTGCTCATTTACTAATTTACATGGCCTTATCATGCATAGAATGAAAACTATGAATATAGGTTTAACGCTGTCATAATGTTTTCGAGTACTGATTCTTCTTTGAAGATCATGAGTAACTTCTCCTCACTCCTGCTCATCCAGGATGCGTACCCATCGTTGAAGAAGATGTGGCTCAAGTGGTCAATAATGGCTTGAGAGGGATCGGAGTCGAGTTCGAGCACTTTCAGCGACCGCCGGTGGCACTGGAAAGCGGAGGAGACGTTGCGAGCGCCGTCAGCGTGGCCCTCACAGGGTCGCTTCTTCTGCGGCCCATGCTGCAAGTTGGTCTCCTTGCATTTTCTTCAAGGTCCTGAGAAATCTAAGCCGGAAAAGCTAGGGCTGAGTTTTGGTTTCACTAATTAAAAAAATGGTTGTCCAGTTTGTCAATAATGCCATTTAATCTATGCAATGAGGCAATTAAATATTTTCCTATGCATCCCATCAACCAATATTGCTTATATTTGTTAATATCCAATTCCAACAATATATCCTTGCAACCCTGTTAGAACACATTCGATTGTTAAGACTGATTTGTATGTTTTCATTCAGGGATGGACAGAGAATGTGACTGGTACCCATGAATTCCTACAAATGGTAGCCCAATGCCTTGAAGCACCAATTGTCCTGATTGGAGGAGACAACCCTTGTGAGGCACATATTTGTATATTTCTCTATCCCTACTCTTGAAACATAATAGGTTATCAAAGCACACAGAACATGGATGGAATCATTTTGGGTTTTACCAACAATTTATTTATTGATATCAGGCAAGAGATATTGCAGGATGTTCATCAAGCAACTATCAATAGAAAACTTATTGTTTGACACATTCATTGTCAAAGTCAAATTACAAAAAAATTTACAAAAATTTGGAATTGACTATAAGAATATAATTTGAGGCTATTTTCCAGGGACTTTTCTGCCATATTTGGAAGAAAGAGGATTGGAAGAGGAGATGGAGATCCTTAATAATTCGATCCTCCTATATGAATGGAGTCCAGACAGAATATTTCCCATTGTTCCGACTGAACGTGAGTGATAATTATTCTATGTCTTCCAATTTAAACCACTTGGTGTGCCTTTGAGTACAACTTTTTGGATTGAAATTTGTACTTGAAACCCCTGTATTTTTGCTGATGTATTTAATTTGGGGATGAATTCACTGAAGGTAAATGGGACATTTGATGAATGTCAAAGTTTCCCTCCTAATATCCCTTTTCATTGTTCTGGGAGTCACATGATAGTTAATGCTTGCATACAAGCCTCTTTGGTCACCATGCAATGCCAGATACGAAGTGCTGTCACTTCCTGTCTTTGTTCCTCATTGCCTCCTTTCTGGTAAAATCATCAGAGGTGAGAAGAGGATGACTGGATGCCAGATTGCAGGGCTTGTCAGAAACTACTTGGGTCTGAGGCAGAGTTGCTGATATTCCTTTGTCTTGTGCACACTGTCAATTCCTGTGAATCTCCTCAGCTGCTCAGGGGTCTGCTGCAAAATCACCCCATCCTGGGGTTGAAAATTGATCAGTGACCTTTTTTCTTAAAGGTACAAGCAAGAATCCAAGGCATGGTTGACAGGAAAAAGTAGTGAAAACTTTTTTAGGGAGCATTTTTCTTGAAACTATAAAATGTCCCCATAAGTCCCTTTCATAATTATGTGTCACACTTGTCTGAGATTCATACAGTGTGATTTTGGACCATTCCCCTGATCAGATGAGGAGGATGTCGAACTCTGCCTAATTGAAATGAAAATGATTGCAAATTGAGCATGAGTGCAATATTCCTGATCCCCATCTTAATTCACACTTCAACATCTGCTTATTCCTTCCAGATTTTGGATGTACACATTGGCTGCCTTGGGAGCGAACACCACCAGTGTTTCGAGGTCACCGTCATATCCATCTAGGTATTTCATTTAATGGGACTGTGAATTGGGAGGAGGATGTCATCCCCTTATTAAAGGCTATACAGATGTCCCTGAAAGGAGAGCCAGAGATCCTCAGAGGTAAGGACTAAATAGGGGCAGTTTCTTCCTCTTGTGAGACTGACATATTTTCCCCTTTGTAAGACACAAAGTGGTATCACATGCCTAAGATTCCAAATGCAAGCTGATTTAAATGTTGATCAGTGCAATAATGTAGATCAGAGGAGCCCAAAATTCTTGGTCATAGGTATGTCACATTGATGTTCTTCAAAGTGAATGAATGATTGTTGCAAGAAGTCTTTGAAGAACCTGGTACTTGGAACCTCCTGTCTTCTGCAGTTCTTGTTTCATTTTATTTAATTATTTTGAAGCCTTCCTGTAGGCTTAAATTCCTCTCAATTTATCTGAGATGTTCTGGGCATGAAAGCATAATTTGTTTAATTTTGGTTTCAAACAAAATGCAAATCAATTGTAGTTACACATGATTACAGGAATATGCTTGTTTGAAAGAATATTTCATACTGCAGCTCTGAAAAGTAATTGCATTTGAAGCTCTGCTTGAAATATTTTTAAACCAGCTCAAGTCTTCCTCATTCATCCAAATTGTGAAATGCAGAAATTATGTGGCTTGCATGATCCAGATGGAGAAATAAAATAAATATACATTGGCCCCTTTCTCTCTAAGACATAGCAAGTCTGCTTTAATCAAACAGGAAGCACTCACCCTTCCTTATGCACTCTACTGCCTTCTTTCTGTTGCCTACACACTTTTATTCTCCCTAATTGCCCCCTGGGCTGCACAGAAGCTCTATAGGCAACATGCAGCCTGCTGGCTACACTTTGGACTGCCCTAAACCGTTGAATCATTAATCCAAACAAAATTGCCTGTTTGCTGATGTCAAAATTAGCAATAGTTGATAGTGTATTTTGAGCATCAGGTGTATTTCAGCCTTGTTATTAATTATTCC